TATATTTGTACTGTTGGAGAAACAAATGCAGTTGAATATAAATAACGTTTCTAAGTATTGACCGGCCTCAGTGGAGTCATAGCTTAAGTGGTTAGAGCACTTGCCTCGTAAGCGGGAGGACGTGGGTTTGATTCCTGGGCAGGGCGAAACCTTGGGCAAGTTTCCTTACTTCACATGCCTCTGTTTACCTAGCAATTAGTAGGAACCCGGTTGTTGGTCGATTGGCTTTTCCAGAGGTAATAATCCCTTCAAAAAAATGTCAAAATAATAATAAATTCACGACTGTTTATGGGACACTGCTGTCCGCAATTGGCTACCGCGTTTTGCCCACAAAATATACAGTAAATTAATTTCACAGTATATTCAGTGAAGTGCTTTGAGATGTCTCGAAGACATGATAAGGCACTATATCAAATGCAAGGATTATTATTAATAACTTGAATTTCCACTAGAATGTTAATTTCAGTTAGTTGGACAGGTCTGTTAGTTTGTGAACTGGATCTAAACTGAAGTTTAAAGATTCAAAGAACTGTGAATTTGGAAGTGAGGTTAAATTTTCTTATATTTTTAAAATGGTCTTAATTTGTAATAAAAACTACTTGTCTGATCAAATCTCCTGAAGTGCCCCTTAGTTCTATTGCATATTTGGCAATTCTGCAGTGAGATGTTCTGCACTCCAGTGATTTCAAGCACACTGTGTAATGCTGCTAATTTCAGAAGAAATGGATGGTAGTGAGACTACCTGCAGCTATTCCATTAGTTCTGTACAATTAGAAATTTCACTGGTGGTATGAAGCTCGTCGGTAGAGAGTTTAATGCATTGTAACTGCAGCATTACTTATATTTTAGACCCATCTACAACTGCTGTAGGTGATGCAATAAAATGATTCAAATTAGGAATCAGCATCTTATATTTCCTACGGGCTTTGGATGAAATTTTAACCAAATTCCAGTTTGCCTGTTCAGATGGATGTTGAAGAACCCAGAATACTATTTGAAAAGAGAAGGGAGTTTCTCTCGGTGACCTGTCCAGCAAACTCATGGATAACATTGGCCATTCACTTCATGGCTGTTTGTGGGTTATTGTGTTCAAATTGCCTAAGTTGTTTGTGTATAAAATCCAATCATTAAATTTCACAGTAAAATCCAGTGAAGCTCTTTCAGATGTCTCAGTAACGTGATAAAGTGCTATAAAAGTTCAAGAGTGATGCTGCACTAAACTAAGCTCTTGTCACTTCGGCTGAGATTAGCTAACTCAGCACAGACTGAGATTAAACATGGGTTTGTATGGCTCAGTTTCACTAGGCAATGATTTTATTAGTTGAGCCATAGGGGAGCTAGGATTTTGAAACTAAATTTGACGACATTGAATTGCAGAGCTCTGGCAGTCGAGTGAATTGATTCAGTGTGATTTTGTAGCTCAGCAGACGTATTTTTTCCCTGACTATAATTATATAAATTCCCTGATTGCAAGGTGTCATTTCTGCAACCAGTTCTTATCAATCAATGTCCCTATTATAAAAGAAACATTTATGTTTTGGACTGAAATGTCTTCAAGAATCTCATGCTACAGAGATATGTCTCATTAAAGCCTAGCTGACTGTCGTAAAGATTGCTTTGACAAATGCTGTCATCTTATATAAATTGCATTGAATTTGTGTTCACAAGACTTGGCGGTGAAGTAGGCTGCAATGTTTACAGTAAATTGTTATAGAATTGCTAACCTCCCATCTAAACTGAGAGCTGAGTATTATTGTTTAACAGTGCATTGGTGCCCCTGCTGCTACACAATGTCTTTCAATGCCTCAAGGCACTGATTTTCTTCCTATTCAGTGGCAGTGTCATTTTCACTCCAGTGAACAAATGCTGTTGGATTGTTTCAATCTATTCACATTATAGATACATAGACATCTTCCGAGGAGATGTGTAGGAAATATAAAATGCCGATTCCTAATTTGAATCCTAATTTGAACTCTTACCTTGTTTGGAAGTGCAAAGTCTGAATTCAAAGGGCTAAAATGTTGTGCCCCAACTATTGCTATGTGCTATACCATGAATTACCATACATTAGTTTCATTCAGTTGTCACGGCAAAGATGCTAACTAAACCCTAATGGCTCCTAAAGTGCTGTACAAATAGTGCTTCCACTCATACTAATAGTGCTTTCACAGTCTGCTGCAAATGGGTGTACAAAATAGGAGGCAGAATGGGATATGATATTTAACTTAAAGCAAAACGTGGGACAAATGCAATTTTTGTTGTGATGGATATTTCATAAAATTTTATCCCAAGACTTCCTTACTCTAACTGACTGATTGCTCAGCTGAATGGAGCGCATCGGAAATCCTGCAGTTACATTGTTAGACATTTACAGTAGTATGGTTCAATGAACAACAAAGTGCTTTGCTCATAATTTACAAACGCAACTGGTAGGACGGAATGCCAGAGTTACTGCTAACCTTTCAGAGACCAAAGTGAGAGAGAAGGGGAGAATATGAATGCGCTCTTCCAAAGTCTGTTTCTTGTAGGAATGCTTTGATCTGAGAAATAATATTGGGTAGGAGAAGAGGGGAAGAAACAGAGGATTCTTTTACAAGTGTAGCATTCTCATGCAAGAAGAAACTATGGCCTTCCATGGAGTATTTTCATCAGCTCTATTTAAACTTCTTTTCCAGCCATTCTGCCCCCACTCTCTGGATCAACATGCCAGAATCCCTCCAATTTGCTTTCTCCGTCACCATGTTCAAGGTCCATCTCAGATGCTCAAATGAGGAAATTCTGCATGGTTGGGAGGCTAATCATTAGAATGAGGATGTGTTAGATTTACAAAAGTAATATTAGTTTACCATGCAGCTACATAAATGTTAAATGTTACTGGGGGAGAGGGTCTTGCTGTGAGCAATAGTCCACTGTTAGTTATTCCAGCAAAGTGTTTATTAAATTCTGATGGTGGGACATATTTTGCTTTTAGTCCTCCCCCTGATATCTTGTAGAGACTTGATATTTGGTGGTTGAAAGTCGCTGTCGAGCGACTCAGCTGACAACAGCCTTGGACTGACTCGGTGGGTGAGTCAGCAGGCATCGGCCACTTTAATCCTAAATGCGAGTCTGGAGCCGAGCAGACAGTCGTTGCTGAATTTCAGAGTGGCTGACAACTCCGATTGGCGTCCAGAACTGAAGAGGCTGTCGTTGGTTCCCCTCTCCTCTTTCCCTGCTGATTCAGTCGAGCTGCCTGCTGACGAAGCCTGTGGCTGTTGTCAACTGATTTTCAGCCCCCAAACTGAAACTTTCCGAGTGCTTGTCAGTGCAGCAGTCTCTCCCCTTTCATGTGGTTTCACTAGATATTTGAGAGCTGGTTCCAATAGATTACAGCACTCTATTTATTCTGCAGGACAGAGTAGATTCGCAAATCACTGGCAGCAAAATTCAAGCATTTGCACAATTAAATACTGTAGTAATTAATGCTTGAGTTTGATATAGAGCCTTATTGTGTCAATGTCTCAAAGCACTTTGCACATAATTGAGATTTTCAAGTGCAGTGACTTATTATCTAAGCAAACACAGTACATAATCTGCACCAGCAACATCACACAAATAGCTGTGAGATGGTATTTTCGGTCAAACATTTTTCAACATCTATTTGGGTGGATCTATTTCAATCTGTAGCAAAATCTTGTACACTCCAGCAGCTCCAAAAGCACATTGGAGGGTGGATTGATAGCTTAGTTTGTCCCCAACCTGAACATCAATAACAACTTACATTTATAACAACAACAGCTTGCATTTATATAGCACCCTCCACGCCGAACGGCATCTCAGAGCGCTATATGCGTGGGTACGATTGCGGAGTGCTGAAAGAGCACAGCTTCCGGGACACGAGAGACAGCATAGGAGAGGGAATGGAGTAAAGCTTTTACTGTACTGTCAGGCTTTGTTGCTACCAAAGGTGAGATGAAAACTCAACTGGGGAGGGAGCAGTGTTATGCACTTTCATAGGCAGCATTGTGCTTTGTTTTCATTGCAGATTCCTGGTCAGCAGTGACACTGCAGTATAAATGCAGCATTATGAAGAGACCAAAATAGGATCTTGTGTATTTATTTTGGCTCTTTGGATTTTGAATGCTGTGGGTTTTTTTTTATTGAAGGTTGCTTTATATGAGAATTGATCTTGAATAATAAGTCCAACCTTGTTAATCATAGTAAAGTAAAATAGTGTTATTAAAGATTTACTGAAATCACATAAGCAAATTGTGAATTAAGCAATTATTGCAACAAGTAGGAAACTCACAGTTGTAACAACCTGGTGTGTTGGAGTATTGGAACAAAAACAGGATCTGTTTGGATTTAGATATCTCGGTATAAGGTTTAAAAGGGCTGAATCCTTGTACCAACTGGTGAATGCCTTGAGTTTGAGGTATGTTCACAGCTAAGATTAAAAAGACTCTTTCATTATTGTCAACTTTTATACAGATTTGTCTTTAGCAGCTCTTTCAAGGAGTTTTAAGGAATGCATACTTGAGGGAGTAGAGTGGAGAAGAGATTGGGAGAGATGGAGATTTATGTAGAGTATAAAATCTGGCATGGATCGCTGGGACTGAGTAGGATGTTTTGGTGCTGTACAGGCTTTGTAATTCTACAATTTGTTTTTTGTGGCAGGATCAATTTATGGGCAATCCCGTAAATTGAAAACTCAGCTCCAGATTGCATGCATGCGCTGGGGTAGAGGGTTCAAATGGTGTCCAACTTCTGTGAGTTTTTGCCTCTTTTATTTAATTGAAACTTGATTCAGAGAAGCTTGGTGAACAATAGACATCCAATAAATCTGCTAGGATGTCCAGTTGAAAAATTCTAACACTTATGATGTATTGAGATAATGAAAGAGGGATTTGTACTGCGCTCAGGAATTATTGTTTAAAACCATACTTTTGTGTTCCTTATTCTGAAACATTTGAATCGTTTTTGTGGCAATAAACATTGTTCCTACTTTTGTGTTTCCACAGTCTCGATAAAATCAAACAAGAGACCAGATGGGAACGGTATCCACGAAAACTGCCGAGCGCCAAGACCCTCTGAAGATTTTATGGAGGGAGAGCTCCTGTTACAGGTAAAATGGGTTCTGAATAAAGACAAGACAAAGATGGGGATCAAAATTCTGCACTGATAAGTCATTTCAACAAGACTGAAATACTGAGCTATTGAGGACACAATAGAGTTGTCTGTGGGAATTCTATTTCACCTTTAAAAGTATTGTACTAGGGAAAGGCAACATATCTATTAGTGCCTTTCTATATTGTGTGCATGTTGTTAAAGTTGAGAGAAAGTCATGGGGCATTAGTCCTCTTCTAGCTATAGAAGGAACGGTGGGATGAAATTTGTGATATTGTACATGATGGTTAGGGCATTGAATGACTTCCATTGCAGTGTTGGGGGATCGCTGCACTGTTGGAGTTACCTTATTTTTATTTTCAAAAAATTATTTTTATTTAAAAAAATGCAGGCATCTGGTTTTTGGAATCTCTTTTGATTTGATTTTTAAATCTTGGAGGTAGTGTTTGAGCGCTAGTTCTCAGGATACTGACTGAATTTGCTCAATGTCTTTTAAACGCCTACTTCCGTGATGGGGAGTACTGTCAGATTTTTGGAGGCAATAATTTTGCAGAGGCCACCGGGGAGGTGGAGTGGTAGGAAAGAGGGAAATCATTCCTCCCCACCCCTCCTCCCATCGCTTCCTTCCCGCGCCCCCCCCTCCCCCCACTGCTCCATACCCTCCACAGCAACTGAAGGGACTGTGTAATGATCAAGTAAATGTTGCAATATGCATTTATTCCATAGCTAAAGGGAATGGTTCAACAGAAAATCCTCCCTCTCATCCCCCCACCCCACCCCCCTCCCTTAGACTTTCCTGCCACTTTAAAGCTGGTGATATTTAAAGCGCAGCTTCTTTTGGCCAAAATGCATAATTTAATGGGCTGCAGCCTGTGGTTAGTTTTGTGTTCTCTCTTTCTCTACCCCCCAACCCCACCCCCACTAGAAGGAAATTGGGCTAGTGACCAGAACCTATTATTTGGAATATTGTCTCGAGTGGAGCAGGACGCCAGCTGTGTATGCAGACTTATAAAAATAGATCCCCCCCGCTTCATGAGCAGAAATGTTCTCCTGCAGCAGACCGTGAAAACGATGGCCACAGGACAGAAGTCATTTGTAGACTTAAATGTACCCTTAAGGGCAGTGAGAGGAAAATATGTCTTATGGCCAGCAGTGGTTAACCAGGTCTCATTAACTCAATACCTACTGTGCTAATACTGCTTAGCTAAAATGGTTAGGCTGTGGGGAGGGAGTAACAGTGCTCACAGCCTTTGACTCCCATGATGATGAATGGCTATAAATGTTGTAATATATCACAGGTACTCTTTTGAGCACTAAAACAATCCACATATAACAATGGTCTTTAGGGTCCAGGGTAGTGTCAAAACATACAGCTGCTGAAACTTCACTTATTTTATTGTTCCACAGTATCCAATTTGCTCCTTTTTCAACTTGCTCCTGTTCTCTCTGCCTTCAAAACCACTCAAAATCTCTTTGACCATGTTGATGCCCTTAAATTCTCCTTCCTCTCCTCTCTCCTCTCCTTCCCTGCTTAGTGCTTTCTGTAGTCTCAGCGAATTACTTTGAGACGTTCATTCATATGTGAAAGGCTTTATGAGTGTATTATGCTGCTGCTGTTGTTCAGAACCCTAACTCTCAAGGTCCGTTGTAGCAGTTGAAAGTTATAGATTCACTTTGAACAGACGAAGACTTAATAACTGATGCAATAACAACAATATACATTTATAGAGCGCCTTTCATATCGGGAGGATGCCGCAAGGTGCGGGACAGTCAGGGATCAGGACCCAAGCATGGGGGAGGGGTGGGGTAGGGGTGAGGGATGGCAGAGAGGTGGGAGGGTGACTGAAGGAACGATCGAAGAGGAGGATCTTGAGACCCACCTTGTAGGAGGCAAAGGAGGAAGCGAGGCAAAGGGACTGTGGGATGGACTTCCAGAGTGTGGGGGCAGAGAAGCTGAAAGCCCGGCCACCGATGGTAGAGACATGGAGCGGACCGGAGCCTGCTGAACGTAGGGAGCGGGCAGGTTGGTAGGTAGTCAGCAGGTCAGAGAGGTAGAAGGGGGCAAGGCCATGGGTGACCTTGAAATTGAGGACGAGGATCTTGAATTCGATCCTCTGAGGGATGGGGAGCCAGTGAAGTCGGGCGAGGGTGGGAGTGATGGGGTCAAGGAGCCTGGTGCGCGAGAATACACAAGCTGCAGAGATTTGGATGATTTGCAGCTTGTGAAGGGAAGAGTTGGGAAGGCCGATGAGGAAGGAGTTTCCATAATCGAGCCTTGATGTGACGAGTGTGTGGGTGAAGGTCTCGGCAGCCTGAGGGGTGAGGCAGTGGCGGAGGCTGGCAATGTTGCAGAATGTAGAATACAATGTGCCTTGGGACATCCTCCTGACGTGAAATGTAATTTATAATGTATACAAATGTAATTTGTTGTTGTGTTTGTTGATCACCCACACCAAACTTTGCAAGCTTAACACCCTGCCCTCGCCAGACTCCACTGTTTCACTATCTCCCAATAAATAAATTTTAAAGATTTCACCCTCGCCTATATATCCCTTTATGCCCTGGCATGCCCCTATATTCTAGTGGGATTCTATACAAGGATCAAGAGGGGCTGAGACAGAGGGGTAGAAGGAGTGTGTTCCAGAGATTGGGGGTGTAGTTGCTGAATGTTCGGCTATTGATGGTGGACGGAGGGGGGCACGGACAAGCAGCAAAATACACAGTCATTACAGTTTACAGTAAATCCTGTAAACATCCTTCTGATGTGAAACACGCAATATAAAACACAAGGATTATTATAGTCTCTGTGATCTTCTCCGCCACCACTCTCCTGCTTGCAAGTATATCTTGTAAGGTATTGTTTCAGATTACAAGTAATTAGTAATCTTATGCTTTCTTGGGGAGTGCTTTTATAACCCCACTGTTGAAGTCAATTATAGGTCAATTGGCTGTCAAAAACCTTAGCATGGAAAGAAGGTTTCAGCCTCGAATTTCACAATTAACATTTTCAGTCTTGCTGTAGTTTCTTTATCTGGGTAGTACGCATTATTCTTGCCTGATGTTATATCGTACAGTTTCAATCCAATGTTTAAGTGAATTGTGAAACATATCTATTGTTGGTCCTATTGAGGTTTATTAAAGCCATCAAGACGAGTGTAATTTATAAAGGGGATTGACAACATTGCAGAAATATAGCTGGATTTTAGTTCCCAACAAGATTTGGACCTTGAGTCATCAAAACCAGTCATTCGTGGGGAAGTAAGAGAACTGCTTCCTCTGCACTTCAGCATTCTGCACTGGGTCAAATGTTACATAGAATGATGGTGACACAGTTTTCTATACTGTTTTTTATTCCTGTGCAACCTGCATGAAAGCCTTTATCTGGTAATTCAACACAAAATTTACTTTTTTTTAAATAGTTCGTTGAATCATGTATTAGACAAAGTATCATCCTTACATGTGATATAGCGCCTTTCACATCCGGAGGACTTCTCAAAGTGTGTTGTTGACAGTTGCATGAAACCAGTGTAGCCAACAGTAAGATTTTGCATAGGACAATGGATGATAGCATGGTCGAAGTGATAGAGTTTAGAAGAATTTGGAAGCAGAGAGGAATTGTGAAAGGCAGAGGGATTTTTCTTGAGAGTTCCAGAAGGAGGGGGGCATAGTGGCTTTGCCTCACCTCCTCAGCTCTGTGAGGAGGTGAGACAAAGGTGTCCGAAGGTATACCCTGTCAATGTGGGAAGCAAAGGCAATTACTGGAGTAAGCAACTTTGAAGCCCAACCTTGGCCTTCTGCCAACTCTGACCCAAAGGCTTTTAATGCTAAATCCATCAATTTGGTAATTCTGTTTCAATGTAAAACTACAGATTTATCTCGAGTGTAAATGGAGTTTTGAGGTAGCATTGTGTTGGGATTTCCGATCCCTAGAATTCGAAATATGACCCGACAATCCAAGATGGTGCAATAATTATTGTAAGACAGTGAGTTTAATAGTATGTAAAGAAGAGCAAAGTACCGGTTAATCCACGTAGAACAAAAGTGGAAGAAAAATTTCTTGGCTGTCGTCACGCGCTAGTTTCCTGGTGTAATTCCCTCGCTCCCCTCCTGCCAACTGGGACTAACTAACTTCTCTCTCTCTTCGCTAATTATACCCTTTTCTGGACTCTTGCCAGATACCTTCTTCCCTCTCACAACTTGTCCTGCGCGTACTCATCCTAATCAATCATTGGCCTGGCGCCAGCCTGACCGGTGTTGATAAGGTGAGTCTCCATTGTCTTTTCTATAATGATGTTATTCGGGACTGGCCTATTGGGAAGTCTACGCCTTATCTTCCTAGGCCTAGCACATGATGTTTTGCAGACCCTTTTCTCTCCATTTCTAGCTGGTACCCAAGGTTACAATAACACTTAGCAATGTGCATCTGGAGAGAGGAGAGCTAACAGGTACCATGGTTCCAGCCTGTGCCACATTCCGTTAGTAAGAAAGCTAATTTGGCAGCCATTTTGGCCTGTTAATACAATTAATTAAACATATCTTAAAAGAATAGATGTTAAAAATCTTGTTCTATTCTAAATGATTATAGGGGAATCCCTATATCCCAACAACTATACCCAGAATATTCATCCCTTCTAGTACCTGAGCAACAACAACAAGGTTACATTTGTATAGCGCCTTTCACGTCGGGAGGACGTCTCAAGTCGCTGGACAGTGTACAGCATTTCAGACCCGAGCTGGGGTCATGGAGGGAGAAGGGAGGGGAAGGGAAGGAGGGTGACCGATGGCATGGTCGAAGGGGAGGGTTTTGAGGTGGGACTTGAAGGAGGCTAAGGAGGGGGTGAGGCGGAGTGACTGGGGAATGGAATTCCAGAGTTTGGGGGCAGAGTGGCTGAAGGCTCTCCCGCCAATGGTGGGACGGGAGGGATGGGGGATGTGGAGCAGCCCGGAGCCGGCTGAGCGGCGGGAGCGGGCGGGTTGGTAGGGGGTTAGGAGGTCGCA